AGAATTAATCTGAAATTTTGCTCTGAATTAACAAATCTTCCTTACTTGCTTGAGAAAGGTAGTTCGCAACAACATCTGCTCGCAGGCAGCCGGAATGCAGTCATCTTTGTACATATTCTGCTCTCCAGTGAATTCTAACTCAGTTCAATTCGACAAAACGGTCGATTTTTTGAATTTCTTCAGCCTTTTCTGTTAGCCTTTATTTCGCCTGTTAAGCATCAATCCACCTTACCCCTTGGTAGGATGTCATAGAAGAAAATATTCGATTATTCCTAAACCCACTGCGGCCGCCTTAGGTTTTCATGGACTACTGAAGTATATTACTTGAATGTCTGAAGTCTGAAGAGCCTTCTGGAAAAAACGACGGGTGAGAATAAAGGAGACGTGGCAAACCACTTTTACGAAGTTTACTCAGAAATCGGACACACAGAATTGCTGAAATTGAGAAATCTAAGGAAAAATGCAATAATTGAAAATCTCACAAGTAATAGTACAGCAGGTGTTGATTGTGATATAGTGTTTAATGGTAGGCTTGCACTTAAAAGTTATCTTTTTCTCTGAAAATGTATATTCTCAGAAAATCATGATTGAGTTCAGTAAACTTGCCGGCTTAAATTAACCGGTGCGCTGCACTTCAACAGAATTATTATACATATTATGTGCAAATAACAGTATGTACGAGTTTGGCGTGCCTTTGAACAAGTTCTATGTGCAACAAGGTTAACTACTCCAACCAGAATTGCACTGCATGCGTGTAGGCCAGCGTGTGGACTTAAAAAGGCCCAGAATTGCAACTGAAACACCTTTCACAAAAGTTTTTTTTTTAGCATTTATTTTATTTGCTGGAATTGTGCGAACTTCTTTTTATATTCGTGCTGAAACTATTTTAGTTGGTTCCGATTGCAGCTTTCGCTTCAATTTTTGCGTTCTATAAATGGCAAGTGAAGATACGAGTGAAGGGCTTTGCTGCTTTTGGCGGCCGGTTTTACGACATGATTAAGTTTGCTGAATTAAAGTGGGCCAAATTTTCATTTCGTTACAAACACACGTGAGAAATACAACGAAATTAATTAAGCTAAAGATTGACGGCTTTAGCGTAATAGAAGTTTGGTGATTTTAAGTCATATTATTACTTCGTGGACTCACTTGAAATTTTCTGCTAGTTAAATTATTGACAAAAAGACAGGGCAGGAAAAATGAACCGATAACTTTTAGTTGTCAACATTTTAACCCTGTATGGTACGCTACATTGAAGTAAATTGGAAGTTAGTGGAACTCACATTTTCACTGAAAAATTGATACCTTCAAATGACCTTCGTAACCTCCAGAATCATACTGTGTGTAGAAACTTTACTATAATTAATGCCAAGCGAGCCTTTATTTCAGGCCATAGCTAGTCAAATAACTCACTGTTAAGGAAATAGCAGACAAATGAGGTGACATGATAGGTGTCAAAGTCAGCCAATTAGGTTTCTTTACCTTTAATTTAAACTATTGTATACACCGGAGATAATTTCACCATAAAGTCTTTTAAGTACAAAATACTTTGTCAGCCGATGTTTGAACCGTAAAACATACTACCAGAGCTTTGTATATATCGCTTTCATAATTTATTGTTTTTGATAATCAATAAACAAAATAAAATTAGAGAGGAAAAGGTACGGAAGAATAAACAATTAGGAATAGTTTGAGCAGAGGTACATGATTAAATTCTGTGTAAAATTCGGTAAATCTGCGACAGAAACGTTTGACCAAGCAGGCTTACCTAGATGTGGCTTTAGCCGGAAGTGGAATGCTTTGGTGGCATCAGGACTTTTTCATGGGCCGGGAAGAGGTCGCTGATGAAGACCGTGCTAGGAGACCAGCGACTTCGATAGACACCGACAATGTGTATATACCAGAATCACGTTACCAGCAACTTGTAACGAAGCTTATTCCAGGTATTGCCATTTGCAGACTATAAACCTATGCTCTACTATGGCACTGTACGATACCATAAACCTTTTCGGATTGTATTTATATCACTCTTTTCTTCATTGTTAAATGCTTTTCATAACAATATCCCAAATTCGTAAATATTTTTCATTTAAAACTATTCTCAGGATGTGAAAAATTACAGATCTACTTTTAATTAATTTGAAAATAAAAATCAGACATACAAATATTTAAAAACCTATTTGTTAATATCTTTGAAAGCGCCACAAACAATGGGATAAATTGCAACTTTTCTCGCGCTGAATGCATAAATTAACTGAAAGTGTTTGTCTAACCACAAAGCATGGGAACACTTTTGAAAAGCCAAACAACAATGCATCTACAAATAAAAAAGAGATGTAAATAGAGCAAGTGCGTGAGGAAATGTAAGCAGCGTCCGTTGGTTATGCGCAGAAATGCAGGGCTGCATTCGCACATTTAAAATTGTTTGGAGATATGTAGGTGAGGACAGGGTGGCAAGTAAAGTGATTTATTTTAAAATAATTATGAAAAAAATGGGAATATTTTTTTTTACGTATGTGTCGGTTGATTGAAGAGAGCAAAAAATCATTTTCGAATTAGGATTTAATTTCTTTACTTGTCTCGTCTAGAAAGAAGGCAAGACGAAATATCTCCTGTCATCAAGCAAACAGTCGTCGTACTCGCAACTTGGCTCTCACGTCACTGTTGACAGTCATAACTTTGAAGTCGTAGATAATTACGTCTATCTTGAAAGCAGCATTAACACCAGCAACAACGTCAGCCTCGAAATCCAACGCAGAACAACTCTTGCCAACAGGACCTACTTCGGACTGAGTAGACAATTGAGAATTGAATTGCTCTCTCGGCGAACAAAAACCAAACTCTATAAGCCACTACCGTCTTACTATATGTTACAGAGGCGATGACCATATCTATTGAGTCGACGGCAACCGCATTGACATAGTTCAGTAAATTAAGAGAAAGCGGCTAAGCTCGCTAGATCATGTCGTCCGAATGGATGAAAAAATTTCAGAGGTACCCACCGGGAGAAGCATTGAAAAGGGGAAGACCTCCCCTCTGTTGAAAAGACCTGATAGTACTTGGAATTTCCAATTGGCGCCGAAAATAGGGAACGGTATCTAGACTAGAGACAATTATCGTCTCATGATAAAGACGGCTGATAGCTTTATAACCAAACTTATGACTTTATAACCAAATCATCGATTTTATTATGGATCATGCAGCATGACGAATTATCCAATTAAAACTAATGAATACCAAGATCAGTGAGTAAGACCATAAAAATTTTGGACTTCCCGAGTATTTTCAGAAAAATATATAGATCGAATCTGTAAAATAAATCTTAAAGCTATACCGATTTTTTCTCATTTCGGCACTATTACATATGTGTAACATAAACATGTTGGGGTCTTCCGATCTCCATGTAATTCGTCAGAGTAGTGAACTTCCCGATTTCTGGAGCTTCCAATGCCGAGCTTTGTACATGGACCACCCTATATAACTGTAGTTACGGTATTTTTTTTGTTTTTTGTTGAAACTCGCTTCACATTTTGTGTCTGCTTGATTATTTGTGTGCGTCGCGTGCTTATCGTATAAATATTCCAACTGCAATGCGCGAATTGCCAGAAGCGCGCATACTTATGAACAAATCATACATACTTACATACACATTAGAAGGTGTCAGAATATGTAAGTATATGAGTATGAGTTTTTTTCGCTGGTAGACAGGTAAGGCGAGTACGCTTTGTGAGCCTTGTCATATGGCCGGTGAATATTTTCCATTTTTTATGGTAGCGCCGTTTTTACAGGTGCGCTGGTAATCCACGACACCGGCAGCGCTAAACACCACAAAGTATTTTCTATGGCGGCGTGCAAAAACTCACAAGCCGTTTCATTTGTATCAAGAAGCAGACGCTGAAGCGGCGATGATATAATAAACTGGCCTTAAATGGGCGAACAAGAAGGCAAGCATGAATGCGATTTGAGTAAGCCTCAACAACTCGAAGAGAGAGCGAGAGAGCGCGCACGTGAGCGCGTTGTTGATATGCTTGTGGGAGAGTGAAGACAGCTGAGCGCTATGGAAACAGCTGTTTTTCAAACAGGCTTGATCACCTGCGCGCTTACCTGGTCGACCTGGACAGAGCGCTGAGCGCGCTGAGTGTCTGTAAAAATAGTTACTTGTTCATATGCATGCTCTAAGCTGTATCTCGTGAAGTTTTTGTTTGCGCTATTGTTTAAAGCAAAATGTTTACGCTCGGACCACCAAAAAATACGAAGCGCCAAGCGTTGACAGCGCCAGCAACTTTTAATGTAACGTTTTGGCCGATTTTAAGCTTAGTTTGAAAATTAACAGCGTGCTTGTTGGACGTTTTTGGCTGTGTTTGAAGAGATTTGTTGACAAAATAATTGAAATGAATTGAAACAAAAACCTAGAAATGAAATAAAAACTAATGGAAATAAAACGTTGTTAAATATTATAGACAAATAATAAAAAGAAAAAACGAAAAATTACATTACGAGTACAATTTGGCAAGAAAAAAATTTTTAGACAAAAATATTGAAGAAAAAAAAATTAATAAATTCAAAAAGCAAAAATCAACCTGCAACTAATATTTTCTACAAAAAAAAAGAAAAAAAAAGACAGATGTTTGGCAGAAAATATTGAAAAAAATTAAAAAAAATTTAAATATACCTATTACTAAAAAGGGGATATTAAAAAAGAATTAAAAATTTTAATAAAAAAAAAAGAAATTAGTTTACTTTTATACAACAATTCCATAAAGTTTTTTAAAACTACTATCTTAGTTTCGAAAGTGTTAATTTCTACGACTGTCAGCTAATAAATAATACAAATTAATGTTTAATAAAAATCACTGAACAATAAAACTTCAACAAATTTCAAGTGTGAATTAAATATTTGCCATAAAAATTAAAATTACTACGAATAAAACTTTTGCTTTTGGTGCATGAACTAAAAATTTCTAAAAATAAAATTAAACAAAAAATCAATAAAATTAAAAACAGTCGTATAAAAAGAATCATAAAGAAAGGTATTCACATTAAGGTTTTTACGTCGCATGCAAGACCTCAACTTCTGTTGACTACATACGTATATTATATATTTGTATATGTATATATAAGTCTATATACATCTTCCTTAGCGGTTCATCGAATTCATTAACCCACAACGTGAGTGATCGTGCCACACACCAAAAACAAAAGCGCATACAGTCGCTCCATAAAGTCGTTAAAAAAAGAGAGAAGAAGAAGATGCAGAAAAATCGCAATTAACCTAAAATTACAATAGGAAAAATTAGCAGTGAAAAGAAAATTAAGCAAAAACAATTTTAATTTCTTTTTACATTTAATTTGCAAACAATTCATAAAAGTGTTTGGTGTGAAAAAATCTCAATTGCAACGCAGTTAAATCGCATTGTTGTTGCAGAAGTGCAATCAATACGTTGCATACATTCATCCTAGCACACCAACACAACAAGCACAAACAGCAACAACAACACCGCGCACAAATATGGATGTCGCTTGGCGTTTTCGTATCATGATCTTCACCGCGTTAGCCTTGATGTTGTTCGGCGATTTTTACGGTTATGGCAGTGTACGCGGCGTACAATCGGATACAAATCAGGCGGCGGCAGCGGCGGCGGCCACCACCGGGCCGGGCAAATTCCAGCAGAGCGACGCGGATATTGAAATTGGCGAAGGTGAGTGAGTCGACTTTGGTTTGTCAGTTAAAGTAATCTAATATGCATTATTTATGTATTTGGTACTGTTTTGTGCATTTAGTGCACCTGCGCAACTCTTGAAAGGGGTTTGAAAACAAGTAACTTTTTTGGCAGAAAAATTTTTACTTTTTTGGAACAATTAGTTAAAAGTAAAAACTTGTACCAGTTATGAAAAAGCCGTATTGTGCGACAAGGCAGCTGAAACTTTTTATCCGTAAAAAACGATCATTAGAGAGTCAGTTGAGTCATCGCGGCAATGCTTTTTACAGTTGTCTCTGTAGATGATATGTTTTTTGTTTCACTGTTTTTTTTGTTTTTCTTTTCGAAACAATATCTATGGAATTGCAGAGTTTAAATTTCCTAATCCGCATCGTTGATATCATCGTGCCTTAAAGCTTGGTGGCAATATCTAAGCACAGTAAAATCTTCTATAAGTGGACGCCGGCGGGACCAGGCTTTCTGTCCCGTTACATAAAGTTGTTCGCTTAATAGATTGTCCCTAATAAACAAACAAACAAACAAAAAAAAAGAAGAAAAAAAAAGACAAAAAACAGGTCAATATGCACGGTTAATGGAGATGCCTTCTGAATATAGAGTCCGTTTAATAAAGCGTCCGTTTAATAGAGTTTTCACTTACTACATAATTGGGCCTGACGATGATATATCTCCACTATACAGTCCTCACCAAAATTTCCTAGTTTTTGCTTTTTCATAAATAAGGATTACATCAGATCATTTAAAGTAACTGTGCCGATCGCTTGTCTTCGAAACTACTTACTATTATTTATTTTCAAATGTTTGGACTAACTTTTTCTGTTATTTTATGAAGCTTTCATCCAAAGTATGAATATAGTCATGAATTTTTATCCAAAGTATGACTAATTTTTATTGGTTTGCTATTGGAATTCGGGTGCGACACAGTCAGCATAGTTAAGCTCTGTGAGTTTGCGGAGACCTTATTTAAAACTTCGGGTAAATCATACAAGAATGAGTAGAAAGGGAAACTAGGTAGAACTCGATTTGCACATTAACATCTATCCGGTTTGGAGTCCCAATCGACAACATATGCTTCGTTTATTCATCAATAATTTTTCGAATAAAATAGCCCAGTTAGAATGATTCGATTATGCTTAGATATATTTAATAACCGCTCTCAAAGAAATCCTCGTCCCTAGCAAAAAAAAAAAAAAAAAAAAAAAAAAAAAAAAAAAAAAAAAAAAAAAAAAAAAAAAAAAAAAAAAAAAAAAAAAAAACAACTGGGTCAGTCCATTTTCATAAACTTCTCTTGAGGCACGTTTTGTACCAGAAAAAACTTTGTCAGGAAAGGAGGAGAGTTATCATTGAACGACAGTTTCGGCCAATAAGGTTGATGGATAAAAACCTCGTCAAACCCAAGTATTCACGGTGATAAGTTTTTATTTATTTGTGTACGTTGTTTATGTTCATTACTTTCTGAAGACGGTCCATGCGTAAGAGTCGGAGATAGAGAATACATATGAATGTTTACTCCAGCATGTCGCTTATTTCTAACTATATGTTTTTTGATTTTTTCTAACTCATTCTGAAGTTATTTTATATCGAAGAAAGTCGGAAAAACCTTTTGAGAAATTGGCACTGTTTATCTTCTCAGATTTTTGCCCTTGTTGGCTTTTTTGTTCAAAACTTCTCTTATGCTGTTCGGATTTTAGCGCTGTTTTCTTGTTTTCATAGACTTGATACTTCACTTCATAGACTTTAACAGATTTAGGCGTGACCTTCCAAATGCATGTTCTTAAACATTTGTTGTGTTTCTAGTTAAAAATGTATGAAAATTATTTCCTCTCCAAGGCCTGTTTAGGATGATAAACTATTCATTTGACCTTAAATTTGGTGCAAAACCAATCTCTGTGGAACACATATACTTAGGAAATAGCACTCGTGCAACAATTCAATAACACAGTACAACAGCTAATCTGGGGGGTGAGAAATTCCAAGTCAGGGTGATGGTACTAGGTCAGTATTGTAAAACCCTCAAAGGGTTTGGCGTTCGTATGTGTCAGTTTTGTTTTATGACCTTTTAAATTTTTTTCTTATTTAGCATGGTTTTCCATCTTAACAAATTAATTTTTTTCAATCAGGCCTACTAAATGGTCCCGATATACGAAAGCTGATTAAAAGTGACACATTCAACAATATTTTGATTGATATATATTGAATGCATGGCAGGCAATCAAAGAAGTAGTAGAAGGCTTTTTGGGAAAGCAACGTTCTAACAACTACGATGTTTCTGTCGCAAGGACAGAACAGAATTCTCTTAACAGCATACTCGGAAGTTGGTTTTTTTTGTTTTTTTTTGGTTTTTGCCAAAATGTTACAACTAAGCGAAAAAACATCAATATAAGGAAAAAAGGGGTCATAAGGTCATAAAAAACTGACACATACGAACGACAAACCCTTTGAGGGTTTTACTATACTGATCTAGCACCCCCAGACAATAATGCCAAAAATGTTCCACATTGCAATTATTTCAGTTAGCGGGTTCCACAATATTATTTGCATATTTCTACATACATACATTTTAGATCAGCTGCTTGCAATTCCTACTTCATTCATTTTACGTCTGTTTTGGTATTTCCAAAGCATTCATTCATATGGTTGCACATTTATAATAGTTTGCACTCTTATGCTAGTTTTGTTTATGTAAATTTATGCGCATTGCTAAGATGTAGAAATTACCTGAGTTAGTCATATATATGTTTGTAGTATGATTCGGTAGTTGAAATAGCATTACTTTGCGTATGTTTTTGAAGGCAGCTGATAGAGTTTAGTGACACTATTTGTTATAATGAAATATTCATAAGTTTTTCCTGTTTAATTTGGTGTTTATTATAACGGGATTTTATTAATTATAGCAACACTTCCTAATTTCGTAGAATATGGTATGCAATTTTTAGATTTTTTGAGAAACGTGTTGATTTATTTTAAATTTTGCGCGAACATTCCAAGGATTTATAAATAAAAGTAGGTTACAATAAAATTATTTGTAAATTTTGTTTTTTACCTTACTAAAAACTTAGGTAGTCAAGAGCTTAGAGATTTATTTTAGTCTTAAGGAGATTTTGAATTTTTTTTGGTAATAATCACATAATAATATACAACAGATATATAGTTTAAACGTCAGTCATAAAATATCAAAGTTAACGGCTAAGCACTCAACTATGTATAACAATATGTACCTTTGTGTGCTCATATAAGCCATCACAATGTATGTGCTCAGTGATAAATCAGTTAACCGATTCACCTTAAAAAAAAAGCGCGTTAAAATACAAATATATATGCCAATAAGTAAATAATAAAACTACAATCGCACTTTTGTATACAGATACAAATCTATAAACTGTTACGGCTGGGCTATATTCCTCATTTCAATGTCACGTCTCACGAGAGTTGACCTTCATCACTTGCCGGCATGGAAGTTTCCGACGCGGCGACAATTAAAATAAATAACAAATACCAAAAAGCAAGTCTAAACACCCACACAGTGCCAAAAAAAAAAAAGAAAAAATCAAAAAATAGACCTCATGGTACATTAAAAACGGAAATGAAAAACGAAGTAAAAAAGATAAAATCTCAAACAAATATTTTACAGCTAAAGATAAAAATAAAATAAATAATATTTTTTGTGCAAAATTTTAGGTAAACTAATTTTCCACGCATAATAATTACGGAATTTGTCTGGTTGGTCGCCCACAACTCACAAATTTTGCGCTAAAAGCTGCAATGAGATTTAGTTGCCTTAGTTTGGTTTTCCGTTTTTGGCAATTTGTCACGTTTTGTATTTTTTATGCCAAATCCATTACATTGAAATTTCGCGATAATCTGACCTTTAAATGCGCCAAACATACGTGAGTTTATTTTTGGGCAAAAATCGTAAACAAAAGAGATGAAATATTAACCTGATTTGCCATCGAAAACAATGCAAATAGGATTATGATGGCATAAAAAGATGCCAAAGTTAAAGATTATTTATGATCTGTATTCTAATTTTTTAAGCGAAGAATAATTTATTTGACGAACGAACGAAAAAGTTAGTAAAAAATATATTAAAAAAAAAAAAAAGACAAACAAATATTTAACATTTTCAAATGCAAAGTACTGATATGGGGAGATCAGTACTCAAAAAACACCGTAAAGATATTCTTTAAGCCAATCTTGAACACAATGTGCTAGGGAAATTGGATATAACTCAAGGTAAACAAAGTGATTCAAAAAAAGCCTGAAGAAACAGGCAATTGTAAGTCTAATTGTTGCTGGGTAAACACTTTAACGCAGGCAAAAATATTCTTATATTATACAAATATAATATAAGGTCTAGTAAAAAGAAATCCAATATTTTTCCCATATAATACAAGTATAATTGGCTTTAGTAATGAGCATCTTGCGTTGAATAAGTACGATATAGTTACGAAATATGACGTTAGAAATATAAGATTTCGTATCATACAAACTTATCAGTCATAAGAAAAAGATAAATAAGTTTTTGTATATTATAAAGAACAGCATTCATCTCATAGACCATAATAAATTATATGTAAGTCAAACTCTGTCTTTCAGATTGAAATTGTGGTTAAAATAGAAATGCTTTGGTCTTGTGGGTTTCTTTATAAATCGGCAGTCCGGGTGACAATTAAGACGACCCGTAGCATCAATACACAATATTGTTATTTAAGATGAGGTATTGATACAGTCATAAGATTTCACAGTGATGAACTATTTTCTCAACGTTCGATATGGAAGGTATCGATAAAATGGATAACTTTAGTTTAACGCGGAAACGGTATTCGCATTGGATGCTAGAGGAATCATTGACACCTCTTTCTTCTTTATTGGCGTAGACATAGCTTACGCAGTTATAGCCGAGTTTAAAACAGCGCGCCAGTCGTTTTTCCTCTTCGTTGTTTGACGCCAATGGGAGGTTCCAAGTGTAGCCAGGTCTTTCT